AGAGGAGAGGATCCCTTTCCTTTCTTCCCCTACAAGCTCACAAGTCTAGGCTAAAGCCATGCCTGTTGCAGACCCCTTGAGGTTTCCAGACATCCAGGCCTCAGTTTCCAGCGTGGCCAAAGCCATGGCTCTCATCCACCTTTCGGCTGCCAGCTACCAAGGGCACCTGTGCCCTGAATTGCCACTCGTCACCCCCAAGACCTTCCTGGACTTCTTGGACACCTTCGTACTGCAGCTGCAGTGGATGACCCTGCACATTAAGAACAGGGCCCAGCGGTGAGTGACCCCCATTCCTTCCCCTGTATCTCCTTCCACTCCTTCAGGTCCACTCACTGGCACACTGTATCTTCAGGATACAGAATGCCCTGCAAAATCTGAAGATGCTGATTGAGAAGCACAGTGCCCACACCACCCTGGTCTTCAACTTGGAGGAGCAGCTGAAAGGCTCCCATAAGGTAAGGGGGAGAGGAGTTTGAGGCATGGTCAAAGCAGGAGCTCAAGCAATGACTTTGCAGAAACCAACCAGACTGAACGTTAGTTCTGGTGTCCTGAGAGTCCCACTTCCCCCAGGGGCTGTCTCTAATCCGTGCTGCCTCTTCCTCTAGAGCTCAGGCTCAAAGTTCCCTGTGGCACATCTGAAATCAGGCTGATTCCTCTAAATGCATGAAACCCAAGTGTCTGCTTCTGGTTGTCCCTAGTACCTTGACTGTGTGAAGTTCAGTATGCTCCCCAAGCTCTGCAGAGATTCCCATTGGGGATGGGGCAGGATTACATCCTCATGGTCCCCTCTCACTTTAATCCTCTTCTCCTGGATTATCTACTGCTCACTGCTGGTTGGCACACCTCTTGTAGTCATACAAATTTATATACTCTATATACAAAAATGTACAGTTAAGTATGGTGGGGAAATGCAGATGGGTGATGGCACTGGGGGCAATTTACATTTTAGAACAGAACCATAAATAGGTTTAAACGGTTTACTAAATCTCAGTGTCCTGTTTTCCTGTCACCTTCCTCTACAGGGCATTTCCTAGTGACAGAGTTTTCTCTCCCTGTCCCATCTCCCCAGCACTGCTCCCAATGCTATTCAGTCACCCTATTTTTCCTTTAGAGCTTCCCAAAGTCAATGCTCATGTAACAAGAGATTTTTTTCCAGTCCTTACTCTAAATCCTGTTGCTTTCTTATACAGAACAATTTCCTTCTTTGAATAAACAAACCGCTCATATCTAGCTAAAATTGGTAGCAGTGGCATCATTACATGTTCTGTAGTCAAACACTCTCAGTTAAAAATGCTTTCCAAAAATAGACATTTTTTTGTTTTGTTTCATTTTTAATAAGAGGAATTCTGATATTTCATTTTTCCCCCTTTCCTGCTTACACAAAACTTTGATGGAGGTTCAGGAGTAACTACAGTGAGATAGTTACTAGTGATCAGTTCACAAGCAGATAATATGGCTTACTTTTTCCCGGGGTTTCAGGTCTTCCGGCTCCCCATGCCTAACCCTCTTCTTCCGATGGGTGTCCTAAGGGTTATCCTTCGGTGCTGGACAACCCCAGGGGCATGGCTTATATAGTATCTACACACATGGTTTTCACTCTGTCCTGTGGAGTCACCATACTACTGTTGCCCTCTTACCATTTGCCACGGAGGATCACTAGCTTAGATTAAAAATTAAGACTCGGTTGAGATGCAAAAAATTAAGAAGTTCATTGAGTCCTCTTTCCTATGATTTCCAAATTCCAGTTTTCTGTCTCAGGTCTTGCTTTTTATCCAAATGATTAATACCAGGGATTTTTGATATGGTTTAGGGGAACTATTATTCTCTAATCCCTGGATCAGAACCTAAGAAGCCCAAAAACTGGATAAGAGATGTTAATAGTCTCAGGGGCATTCACTTAACAGCCATAACTGTGTGTACTTGTTTCAGAGTTGCCCACCAGAGGAAATGGTACCACCCTCCACTTAGTCACTTAAGCTGAACCTCAGGAGTCATCTTGGACCCCTCCATCTCTCTTCCCTTTCATAGTCAGTTGGTTCATTTATTTATGACTGTGCTCAGCAAAGCTTAATTGAATTCCATATTTTTTGTGTGAGCACTCATTAATACTTTTGTCCATGTCTCCCATCTATGCTGGCTTCTTCCCTCATGGCTCAGTTGGTAAAGAATCCGCCTGCAATGCAGGAGACATTTATGTTTACATCTAGATAGACAGAATTCTCACCTCCACTTTTCTAAGGAGGCCATTCTTTCTTCCATTTTACAGATGACAAACTCAGATCCAGAGAGGTTAGGATGAGGATTAAATGAGGCCTTTACATGTAAAGTACTTCAAAGTGCTGGCACATAGCCAGAGCCCAATAAATGTCATCATGTATTGATAGTAGATGGCCTCCTAATAAAGATAAGGCACTCTCCTTGTCCTTCATGGTGCCTAGTTTGCTGGAATATGTAAGGCTCGTGCAAGTAATTACAAAACAATGCATTATGACAGAGCAGGTCCAGGATGCTCTGAAGTATCAAGAAAGACTTCCTAAAATTGTATAAGTCTTATGTTGAATTGGTTCATAGTGCTTTTCAGGTCTATTGTATCCTTATACTTCTCTGTATATTTATTCTATTAATTTTTGAGAGCTTGATGTTGAACTCCAACTAAAAATCTTAATTTATCTACTTGAAAAATAATTGAAATATACAATAGAACTACATGTACCATTGTTCTGTATTTTCCAAGTTTCTAGTAAATGTGTTATCATCTTTTCATAATTTAAAAAAATAAAAAAGAAGTAAAAAAACTTCCTAGAGAGAGCATAGTACCACAGTGTGTAGCACAGAGGCATTGGTAAGCACCAAAAGCATTCCTTAAATATGTAAACACAAGAAGGAAGTACATCAAGGTTGATACCTGAAGGTCAGGTGAGATTTGGTATGAAAGGGGGGGTGGGAAGAATGTCGCAGGCTGAAGTAACAGCAGGTGCAAAGGCCCAGAGGCAAGAGTGTGCCAGGTTGGGGGAACTGAAAGTCAGGAATGGCTGGAGAGCACACTGCTGGGAGAGGAAAAGCAAATGAGGTTGGAAAGATGAACAGAAGCCTCCTGGTCACGGAGGTATTGTAAACCAAATGCAACAGTGGCGAGTGTTAAGAGACATGATGATATGATATTTGCCTTTGAGACAACCAAATAGCCTTGCAGCATGAAAAGCAGATTAGAGGAGGGGGAGTAGGAGTTAGGAAGCCAGTGCAAAAGGCCAGGAGCGCGAGAGAGCATGGGTGTGAGCCCTGGTGTGGGGGATGGAAGTAAACTCGAGAGACATCTCGGAGATAAAACAGAAAGGCCGAACGTGAGCAGCGGCGGCGGTGACGGAAGTGGCCGGGGAGGCCGGTCCCTGCCGACACCATGCGTCCCTTGTCGCTGCTGAAAACGGCTCAGAATCACCCAGTGTTGGTGGAGCTCAAAAACGGGGAGACATACAACGGGCACCTGGTGAGTGACAACTGGATGAACATCAACTTGCGTGAGGTGATCTGCACGTCCAGGGACGGGACAAATTCTGGCGGATGCCCGAGTGTTACATCCGCAGCAGCACCATCAAGTACCTGTGCATCCCGGACGAGATCATTGACATGGTCAAGGAGGAGGTGGTGGCCAAGGGCCGTGGCCGCGGTGGCCTGCAGCAGCAGCAGCAGCAGCAGAAGGGCCGTGGGATGGGGGGCTCCGGACGAGATGTGTTCGGTGGCCGGGGCCGATCCCCAGGACTGGCAGAGGTCAACCAGAAAAGAAGCCAGGCAGGCAGGTGGGCAAACAGTGAGCCACCCCTCCATTCCCGAGACTAAGCTGCCACCCCGAGCATCTGCTCCCACCCCGAGGCTGCATTCCTTCTCTCCAGTTTATGACTGTTCAGAACAAAAAGAAGACGCAGGGGTCGGGGAGGACCCCCTGCCTGTCACCTTGTGATCCTCCTGTTTTTTTTTGTTAGCCAGCAGTTCTATGGTTGGAAAAGTTATTCTGTGCTTCTGGTTTTGTGAAGCCGCAGCCAACTGGATTCCTGGAAGATTCTGTGTTTAATGCATCTTGAAATCTCTCACTCTTGTTTTAAGGGCAGGCATTTTCCAAACAGGTTTGTTTTGCATTCTGTGTGGTGAACAGACGGGAGGTTTTTCTTTTCAGCTGATTGCACTGAGATAGACAGCCTGGAGGGTCTCCTGAAACACAGACCCTGAAACTGCCTTTTCGAAATGAATTCAGGCAAATGTATGACTCAGAAGCTGTTCTGAGGGATGATGCTGGGCCCTGTTCCGTCCGTTCTCTCTCTTTGTCTTACAAAAATAAAAACAAATACAACTAAAAACAACAACAACAACAACAGGAAGGCCTTTCTTGAAGATGGGTTTGATTTTGGGGACTAGAAGAGGTGGAGTCAGGGTAACCATCAGGTTTCTTCCTTGGGAAACTTGGATGTATTTTGCCACAGATCTCTGAGAAAAGAATACATGAAGAGATGAATAGGATTTCAAGAGATCTGAGGAGCCATAACCAAATACATTCATTTCTGGATATGTGGAGTCTGAGGGGTCTGTGAGACACTGAAGAGGAAATTCCCACTAAGCAGATGGATATGGAGGTGTGGGTCTTGGGGAAGAATCTGGCTAGATATAATGATTTGGAGTTGTTAAAATATAAGTGATAATCAGAGCCATGAGTTTAGGGAGGTACACAAAAAGATGATAAGATAGAGCAGCCCTGAAAACTTTTTGAGAAATATTTAAGGGATAGCAGAGGAAGAGAATGAGGAAGAGCAGCCACAGAAGCCAAAGAAGAACATGGTCTCATGAAAGTCAAGGGAGGAGAATGTTCCAACAGGGAGGAGCTTCTGTGACAAATGCCACTAGAGGGTCAAGTAAGATAGATTATCACCCAGTGGTTAAGCATGGAGGCTTTGGATTCAGATTTCCTAGGCCTGTATGGTAGGTCAGAAGCACCCAACCCACTCAGTGAGGCTGCCTGAGTAGATGCATAACTCACAGACTGGAGAATGACAGTTTCAGAACTCAGCAAGTATCTGTAGCCTACTTGGAATTCAACTTGGTCACCCTAACAGTCAACTTGGTCATACAACTATCAGGAGTATGCCTGACTCCAAGCCCGTGTGGGGTCTTCCCTTGGGGTAGTCCCACCTGGCTCACAATCTGGAGCTGCAGAGCCTAAACTCTGTTCACAGAGCCTTGGCAGACTGAATCATCAGATAGACCAAATCAAGATTCTGTACAAGCGGCAGCTGACGGAGTGTCGGCAGCAGGAGAACCTCATTGAGAACCTGATCAAGCAGCGGGATGCCCTGAAGGCTCAGTATGAGGCTTTCCTAGAGCAGGTGAGCTCTTCCTACCACCTGCCCTGCACTGATCCCCTCTCAAAAGGGGACAACCTTTCGTAGGATGCCCAGAGGAGGGGATGGGTTGCCTTATCATGGAGTCTCCTGGGGCAGAGGTAATAGGATGGCTTGGGGTGTGGTCTCTTGGAGACCCTAGGAGAAGATGACCCCTCCTGGAAATACCTTGAAGGAAGAGAGGAAATTCTGGGAGCTCACTTCAGCTGCATGTCTCTCCTCATTTAGATGGGCAAGGCATTTCTGGGGCCCCTGAGCCAGCTGCGGGTGACTGACTTTGAGGAGATACGAAGTTATCGAGCACCAGCAGAGTCTGTGGTCCGGGTGACCGATGCTCTGTGTGAGCTCTTCCACTGTGAGACAGGCTGGGCCAGCGCCAAGCAGCTGCTATGCTCTGAGGATTTTTATCAGGTAAGAAATGTGGGGCTCCATGGAGGAGGAGAGATGGAGGCATGAAGCAGCAACTTGGCAGAGCGAGGCTGTTGGGGCAAGGTCAGAGCATCCATGTCTTCCCCCCACCCCTCTTAAACACACACTCCCCCAGGAGCTGGTGTTCTTCCCCAAAGAGAAGATGACAGATGCAGAGATGATCAAGTTAAACCTGGCTCTCAAAGCTCCAGGCATGAGTGATGCAGACTTGCGGGCAGTGAGCATACCTGTAGCAAGCCTGGCAGCCTGGCTCTGGGCCGTTCTGTGCTATGGGCTGGCACAGCGCCGAGGACTGCCCACAGGCCTGCTGCTGCGGCAGGTGGAGATGACACTGGCTCGGGAGCAGGCCCGCCTGGGCCAGTACCAGTTCCAGGCCCAGGAGCTTTTAGAGCACAGTTTGGCCCTGTCCAAGAATCTGGAAAATGCCCAAGATTCTCACAAGCGTGTGGTTGAGAATCTGGGGCAGGCTCAGTGTGGCCAACATCACAAGTGGCCGGTTGAGGCTGCCCTGCTCATGCCTATGCATTCCTGGACTACGGAGCTCCAGGTAACCAGCTCCTTCTAGATTGCCCCCCAAAGCTCATTTCTGCACTGCAGACCACTCCTCTGCCCCTCCCCATGCCCTCACTACCTCCCTCTGTCCCACTCTGCCCTCCTTGCATGCTTCCCCCCACACCCTGCCTCCCTCCCTCTCCGCCAGACCGTCTACCTCTGCCCTCCCCACCGGCCTACACCTGGTCTTCCCTTCCACACCAGAAGTTGAAGGGTCACTCCTCCACGGTGCTCGGAGATGCCCTCTTGTGTTCAGCTGCCATCAACTACCTGGGTCCCTTCCCACCAGTGCGACGCCAGGAGTTGTTCGACAAGTGGCTGGCTCTCTGCAGGGGCTGTCAGGAGCCGCTGGGCCCAGATGACGTGGCGCGGGCACTGAAGCAGATGCAGAAATCTGTCACCACGTTGCCAAAGAATCCCCTGCTCTCCACACGCTCTCCCTTCAGCCTTGTGTCCTTGTTGAGCTCCGAATCGGAACAGTTCCAGTGGGACCGAGACATGAAGCCCCAGGCAAAGTCAGCCCGCCTGGCAGCGCTGCTTTTGCGAAGTCGCACTCACTACTTCAGTTGCCGTTGGCCCCTGCTGCTTGACCCCGGCAATGAGGCCCTCATCTGGCTGAAGCCGCTGCCTCTGGAAGAGGCTGGACGTTTGGCCACCGGTTCCACCAAGGGCACAGGTAAATCCAGGGATAATAAACACAACACTTCCTGGTATCTGAGCTGCTCCACACTCTCAGCCACATGCACTCTTCCCTTTCACAATGAAGACACTAAATATTCATGGCCAGGGTATCCCAGATTTCTTCAGCCAATATGATATTAATAAATCAGGTCACATGTATATTTTTGGGCCCATACTGCAATGATTGTGTATCTATATGGCTGACCGTAATTTCCACTTCCTGGTCTGCTCAGCACTATTAGAACCTTGGACTATGACTCAGAGCTTTCCTATTCAAATTTATCAGGAATTCTGGGGAAATATTTCCATTGATTCTGCTTGGATCAGGGACCCATCTGGGTAGAGCATCAGAAGGAGCATTTCCTAGGGGAAGGAAGGAAGAGTGTTTATTTCCCAGAGGAAGGGGCTGAGGGTTGTACTGGTGAAAATAATAGACTTCTAGAACAGGTGTATAATAAAGTGGTCTGTAACCGGGGCTCTATAAGTAGACTACATGGGTCAAATATTTGCATTTTGCTAGCTGTGTGACCTAAGGCAAGGTATTTAATCTCTCTAAAGCCTAAGTTTAAAAAATATTAAAAAGCAGAGACATTACTTTGCCAACAAAGGTCCATCTAGTCAAGGCTATGGTTTTTTCAGTAGTCATGTATGGATGTGAGAGTTGGACTATAACGGAAGCTGAGCACTGAAGAATTGATGCTTTTGAACTGTGGTGTTGGAGAAGACTCTTGAGAGTCCCTTGGACTGTAAGGAGATCCAACCAGTCCATCCTAAAGGAGATCAGTCCTGAGTGTTCATTGGAAGGACTGATGTTGAAGCTGAAACTCCAATACTTTGGCCACCTGATGCAAAGAGCTGACCCCTGATGCTAAGAAAGATTGAAGACAGGAGGAGAAGGGGATGACAGAGGATGAGATGGTTGGATGGCATCACTGACTCAATGGAGATGAGTTTGGGTAAACTCTGGGAGTTGGTGATGGACAGGGAGACCTGGTGTGCTGCAGTCCCTGGGGTCGCAAAGAGTTGGACACGACTTGAGCGACTGAACTGAACTGAAAGCCTAAGTTTGTTTGCTAATAAAATCAGGGTCTTATAGCCATCTCATAAAATGTTGTGAGAATTAAGATAATTCATTAAAAAAGAGTTCACACAGTGCCTAATGTATAATAAGTTCTAAAAAACATTAGTCATTATTTGTTGTTGCTGTTTAGTTGCTGAGTCATGTCCGACTCTTGGTGACCCCATGGACTACAGCATGCCAGGCTTCCCTGTCCTTCACTCTCTCCCAGAGTTGGCTCAAATTCATGTCTATTGAGTCAGTAGTCATTATTACTACCAGTGTCTTACTGCTGTCAGTATTACAGTCCATCCCTTGGCTGTCCAGTATATGACTTTCTGTTGTGCTCATACACCATTACAAAAACATCCACTATACAGCTAGCACATGTGTAGCTATAAATTAATTTACCCCTTCTCTAATAAGAGACACCCTAAAGAAACATCTAGCTGCCATATCCAATTCTGAGTCCTGAAACTCTGAATAATCTCTTGATCAGATCTGGATATGGCTTTTCATGGTGGTTCTGTAAACTATCCTAGATTAAGTGAATCTCACCTTAAGAATACACCTGATAAGTAAAGAGAAGCAAAATCAAATCAAGATAACTAATAAAATTCTGTTTAGAAACTTGGAAAGGGTGAGAAATACACATTATATTGGTCTATAGCATATACTGTGCAATGCCAGACAGAAGGTAAAAGATTAGCATCATTTCACTGGCTAATTGAATTCACTGGAGTGAGTTCCTGGACAGCCGGTTCAGCTGCCCTGAGTTCTGATAAACAGTATCATTTTCCTTGCCCATTGTCCCCCAGAAGTATCTGTGAGAGGAAGGTCAGGCAAGAGTACCCTGTTGGTAGCTGTTATACAGTAAATGTCCACTTCCTATTGGAATGGGTATGGGGGCTTAGGATGTGCTGTAAAATTAAGCGAACACTTATTACCAGATGGGGGAATTTCTGGCTAATCCCCTAAAATCTCTCTTTTCCCCTCCAGATTTCATTTGTAAAGACTCTATTAACTGATGCCAGAACTCTTGCTATATTCTCATTGTTGAATTTAAGCCCCAATTTCTGGCTTCTGTCTCTTAACATTGGTTCTGGGGACTCCACCTATTCCACTAAGCCTTATTGTAACTGTCATCCACCTAAACCTTGGCCCTCACCTCAGGGCTGTAGTAAGAAAATAGTATTAGGGGGGAGCTTAGGCTTAGGCTCCTGGCCATGGAATGCAGCCCCTACTTCGAAGTATGTGAATCCAAAGGGGGAGAGAGACTACTCTTGTCAGGCAGAGAATGCAGGGAGAGAAGTGCTTGTGATGAATCTGGAGGCATCCCTGATTTTCCAATAGCCTGTGATTTCCTATTCCATGTGATATGATGTACAGAATCATTTTTTATGTTGGCAAGGTGCATGAGTATCTGATCATGTGTGATCTAACACTGCTTGATATGAGAAGAAAGGAATTCCCTTGAAGTTCTTTCTGGAGATTGTTTCACTAAGAAGAGGTGTAGCCAGCTTGCTCCAGCATCTTCTACTAAGTCCACTAAAGTTCAGTGAGCCCAGGGGCCAAGTCCCATGAGATAAGCCAGCTTTTTAGCTACACATAGCCTAGCCACCTTACCAGTAAGGAAAAGAGAAATCCTCACTGCCGCTTACTACCTGTAACAAAAATCCCACTCACCATGGCTTAAAAAATTGGACTTATTTTATTGAATAAGTCCTTTTTATCCAATAAAAAGGACTGGGATAAGCAGGTATAGGGCTTCAGTGTTGCCTCCAAGCACCCATAATCTAGCTTTCTGACCTATGACCCTTGGTATAGTCATTTATCACATTGTAGTGGGTTGGATGGTGCCTACCCGAAAGATGTATCCTCGTCCTAACCTCCAGAACCTATAAATGTGATGTTTTTTGGAAAAGGAATCTTTGTAGATATAATTAAGGATTTGCAATGAGGCCATCCTAGATTTCCAGGGTTGGCCTAAATTCAGTGATAAGTGTCCTTATAAGAGATAGAAGATAAGGCATAGGTGCACAGAGGAAGGCCATGTGAAGGGAAAGACAGAGGAGTTATGTAGCCATAAGCCAAGGAGCTCCTAGAACCACCAGAAGCTGGAAGAAGCAAGAAAGAAATCTTCCTTAAAGCCTTCAGAAGGAGTGCAATCTTGCCAACACCTTGATTTTGGATTTCTGGTCTCAAGGCCACTAAGAGAATAAATTTCTATTGTTTTAAAGTCACCGTATTTGCTATCAAATGCTACTATCCCTCTAAGCATCATGTCAGAGGTGCTCCTAGCCAATATCTGTTCCTTTTTTTTTTTTTATCTGTCCCTTTTATCAGAAAAATAAAAGATCTTCCAGAAATCTGGATAGCCAGATCCACAAATAGCATATATCACTTATATGTGGAATCTAAAAAAATGATACAAATGAATTTATTTACAAAACAGACATATTTATAGAAAATAACATTATGGTTACTAAAGGGAAAGGAGGGGGAGGATAAATTAGGAGTTTGGAATTAGAAGATGTTAATGTATAGTGCTATAGATAGAATTGATAAACAACAAGGACCTACTTATAGCATAGGGAACTATATTCAATACCTTGTAATACCCTATAATGGATAAAATCTGAAAAAGAATATACATATATATATATTTGAATCATTTTGCTGTATACCTGAACCTAACAGCTCTATAAACCAACTGTACTTCAATAAAACAACAAAAACAAACAAACAAAACCCATAAAATGGTAAGCCTGGAAGAACACCCAAGTCCCCATTGAGCACTGCAACTCGTGATTTTAGTCTCCATTTTAGCCCAGTATAACTCTGAGCAGAGCGTCTGGTCAGGTTTCTAACCTACCAAACTGAGAGATAATAAATGGATGTTGTTTTTAGCTGTTAAGTTTGTGGTAATTTATTAAGCAATAGGAAACAAACACATCAGATTGTGGGTCTGGCAACCTCTACTTGCCCATTTCTTAAACACTTAATTTTTTTAAAAACTTAAAATTCTTAAATTTCCCAACATAAAACAAAACAAAAAACTATTCATCTTTTCCAGCTCCTGCAGTAGAGGAGGCAAAAGAGAAGGGGATTGCAGATAGATGTTGGTTAACCAACCACCTGTGTCCACAGCACTGCCCATGTTTGTGGCCAAGGCCACAGTTTATGGACTTTCTTTTACAAATTGTTACTTTCAGGCACTGATCTCTATGCTAGTGGTGACTCTTCTAGTTGTTAGCGACAGGATTAGCTCAGGCAAAAAGGGAAATGCACTGACTCATCTAGCCAACCTACAGAAAGGCAGAAATGGAGCTAGTTTCAGGGGTGACTGGAACCCCTCCCTGGAATTTTCTAGTTACTGGGAGCTACCCTCTACTAAGTGCTTGCCAGGTGCCAGTGGAGCGCTTTCTGTGCGTTGTTTCACGTCATCGTCACAGGAACCCTATGTGGTGTCAGTAATGCACTAATATCAACCCATTTTGCAGATGAGGAAATTGAGTCGTAGAGAGTTTAAGTGACTTTCCTAAGGTGTCTTCCTGCAGACCAGACCTTCCTTCATGAGCTGGAGTCCTTGGGTGAATAGGGCTCCCCAGGAGCCCGATTCCCTCCCTGAAAAGAGCGCCTTTTCATCTTCCTGCCACAGGGAAGGGCTTTAAGAGAAATCAAAAAGGAGAGTCTAAAGAGGAGAACATGGGAGATGAAGATGATGATAGTGATGAGTATGATAAAACAAAGGAGCAGAAGGCAGAAGAAAGGAGAATCAAGGAGACGAAGGAGGAAAAGGAAGGGCAGCAGGAGCAAGAGGAAAAAGAACAGCAGGATGAGGAGGAAACTCAGTCCCTGCCCCCTCCTGAGCTCCAAATCTTCTCAGGCGCCAGCCCAGAGCTGGGGCCTAAGCTCCAGGAGGCAGCTGCCCGTGGTGAGAACGCATGCCCTCCACCCAAGGTCTCCTGCGTCCTCCCCTACTCAGTGGCCCCACAGGCCTCTCAACCCCCAGTCTGACCTCCGCCCCTACCTTCACCCTAGGCACTAATCCTCTGGAAGAAGCCTGGGTTGGAGCCAGACTTGGTGGGTAAGGTGTCCTTGTCTCCCCCGCGCAGGCCTGCCCGTGCTGCTGACCAACACGGAGCTGGGCCTAGACTGCCCAGAACTGCAGTGGCTACTTCAGCGGGAACAGCTGAGCCCACCCCAGGTGCAGCCTGGCTTCTGCCTCTATCTGAGTACTACTGTCCCCCTCAATGCCTTGGAAAAAGGTGAGGCCCAGTGGGTGAGTTGCCAGCACACCTCTGTGGACACACCAGGGCCCGAGCTTCACTAATCTGACCTAGAGCGGGCTCCGGACCATAGCTGGTAGCCACTCCCTGGGCCCCGCACCTCTGGCTCTGCCATAGGGAAGGAGTTAAGCATTTCTCCCACGTGACTCCAAGTGCTAGGCTGTGAATTGCTGAAGGGGCTGAATGTGCTGGACCTGGGCGTGAACACGGAAATCCTAGAAGAACGGATGCTGCGGGAAATCTTGTGCACGGAGCGTCCTGAGCTCGAGAGCCACTGGTGGGACCTGACCATCAGATTCGTGGACTCCTGGGAAGCTGCAGGGGATGTTGAGGTGCTTGGGGACTCAGTCTATGGGTTGGGATGGGCCCCGGTATGGGGGTAGAGATGAATGTCACTGACCGGGGAACTATGTGGAGAAGGACCAGATCCATGCAATAAAGTGACTGTTTGTAGGAGCGGCTGCTGACGATGCTACTGCTCCAGGGCCCACGGCGTCAGAAACCAGCCAAGTTCCTGAGAGATGTGGTGAGGGCCCAGGCAGAGCTGTGTCAGCTGCGGGCCCATTTAGAGGACCTAGAAGAGCTGAAGCTGAAGGAGGTGGCACTGTGGGCACCCTATCGGCGTGTGGCCTGGCATGGCATGACCATCATAAAGGCTCTTAACTCACTGCAGAACCTACTACCACTTTTCCGTATGAGTCCAGAGGATTGTCTGGCTGCCACCAAGCGGGCTCTGAACAGCATAAAGGGTGAGATTCACCGGCGGGAGGAAGTAACCTGCCGTCTGCTGCAGCTGAAGAGGCAGCTGACCCACCAGCTCCTAGGCAGCACTGTGGCGACACTGGGCCTGACCCGAGTACCCTTGGTGGCCGTCTTGGGTGCTTTGGCTCTGTTGCGAGTGGCAAGGAAGGCGCCAGAGCTGGAGAGGCTGGCCCTCTGGCCTGGACTGGCAGTCTCTCCCAGCACAGGCTGTGAAAAACCAGCCCCAGGTGTGGCTCGACCAGCCTGGCTAGGGCTGAGAACCTGGCACGAATGTGAGATGTTAGAGGTGCTGCCTCCATTTGCTGGGCTGTGTGCATCCCTGGTGGGCCATGCCAGTGTTTGGCAGGCTTACCTGTCACTATCATCCAGCGTGCTGGGCCCTGCACCAGGGCCAGGGGCTCACCCACTGAGCCTCCTCCAGAAGCTGATCCTGTGGCGTGTGCTGCGACCTGAGTGCCTGGTCAGCACCCTGGCCACCTTCACCACCAGCCTCCTGGGCCGGCCCCTGGATGAAAACCTGAGTGCCCACACCATCCCCTTTGAACATACTCAGGCTACTCAGCCCATACTGATCTTGTTGCCACCACCCGGTCATCCCACTGCCACCCTGCATCACCTGACCGTGATCCAGAAACTGGCTGCCAGACATAAGCAGGTTTGAGCCCTAGCCTCTTAGCCATAGAGTGACGGGGATTTTAGGGCTGAGGTGGGTGGTGGGCCCAGCCCCTCCAGCATTCTCATGGATCTTTCTGGATTACTCAGGGACTTTCTGGGTTATCTGTGGCATTACTCTGGGTCCTTTGGGTCATCCTAGGATCTCTTTGAGTTACTCTGCCATTTTGTTGTTGGTCTCCAGGGGAAGAAGCATCTGAAGGTGATAGCTCTGGGCTCTGAAACCTGGGATCCAGTCTCCATCGTGATCAGCTCTCTCCATAAGGCTATGCTCAGGGGGGAATGGCTGGTGCTGGAGAACTGTCATCTTATGCCTCACTGGCCAAAAGAGCTGCTGCAGCCCTTACTGGGACTGTTGGATGGAGCCAAGGGTGGGTTTGCTGTCTAGAGATGACTTCTAGGACTTTATCCTGCACTTGGGCCTGAGCCTGAACTTGGGTCTCATGGTCTATCCCCTCATCCCCTTTGTATGACCCCTTAGCCTCAAGTCTGATCCCTGTCCAGCAATTGATCTCAGCCCCATGTCTGACCCCTAGAGGTCTCGGACCTGGAGTTAGACCTGCTTTTTGCTCAACAAGAAAATGGGAATGTGGCTGCTGTCCACAGGGATTTCCGTCTTTGGCTTACTGTGTCTGCAGAAGCTACTGCTTCCTTACCAGGTGAGGAAGGAGCTTCCCCATAGGCTCTTGGATTGGAGACCAGAGGATAACTGCACTGTGCTGACCCAGCACTTTCCTTCCTCCCCAGCCATGCTCACTCAGCACTCCATGCCTGTTTTCTGGGACCAGTCCCTGGAGCTGGGCCATGTCCTGGTCGACAATATGGAGCTAGTCCAGCAAGGATTCTCTGAGCAACCCCCAAGCAGGGTGCTGCCTCTGCTTCTCCTACATGGCCTCCTGCTACACCGGCAGCTCTATGGAATGAAGCTGCAGGCTCACAGGGGGCACTGGTGAGGGACCCCCCACCCATCCTGTTCTGTCAGTCTCTCAGCAAACACTGAATATTTTTCACATGCTGGGATTCATCTCTGGGGAGCTCCAAAATATGAGGGCAAGGAGAAGTCAAGGAAGCCTTCTCCAAGGACTTGGGAATCTTGCTTCGAATTGAGTCCTGACAGCAGGGGCAGATGAGGAGGAGAGGAGGCCTTTCTGAGCAGAGGGGACTGAGCTTAGCAGGAGCGAGAAGGCTTCAGTGTGGTTGAGGTGGACATGCTGGGGGTCGGTGGGGAGAGGAGAGGCTTGTGGGACTGACTGGATTCTGAGGACAGTGGGAAGCCACTAAAGGGCTTTAAATAGAAGAAACATGATCCCATTTGTCTGTTGGAAAGATCAGTCCCACAGCAGTGTGGAGAATGGACCAGATGGGGTGGGCTGGAGGCAAGCAGAATAGCTTTGAGAGGCTCTGGCAGTATCGAGAAATGAGATCGTGGTATAAGTGGTTGAGACTAGAGTAGTCACAGTGGGGAGAGAGTAAATATGGGGTGAGGAAGAAGGAAGAGTCAAGGATGGGTCTCAGATTTCGGCATTGGACAACTGGGTGGCTGGTGTGGGGGGAAATGATGATTTCAGTTGAAAGGAAATTTGAGGTGCCAAGTGGCAATGCCTAGTAAGCCTCATGGGTCTGGAGCTCAGGAGAGAAGTTTGGGCTGGAGAGAAAGATGTGAAAATCCTCAGCATATAGACAGTTTTGAAACCTGACTTCCTGCTCTCCACCCTCAGGAGTCAAGTGACCCTGACCCACGTCCTGCAGATCCAAGACCAGCTGTGGGCCAGCCTTAGCAATCCTAGTGTTGCCATGAGAGAGCTGGCCGGTGAGACTCCTCCTGTCCCCCCTCCTAGGAGAGCCCAGAAGGGAGTGGGCTGGGGGAGCACTGAGATGGGATATAATCTACTACTTCCGTTTGGGAGGTGGTGGAAATGGGAGGGGCTGAAACTGAGGGGCTCTGACCTCACCCTCAGCTTCGGTCTTCTACGGGGGTCCTGTGGGAGATGACAAGGACAGGGAGGTCCTGACTAGCCTCACGCGAGCCTGCCTGAGCTCCAGCAGCGGGAATGGAGCCCAGCCACACACACCTCAGTATCTGCTGGCCACTCTGATGCCCAGCCCAGGTGAGCTGCAGTCAGGTATCTGTGTTGGGGCGGGAAGCAGCACAGTAAAGCCACCTTGCTCAAGGAAAGATAACAAAGGTACCAGTAAAGGTATAGAAAGGAGGATATTCACACAGTTATGGGATAATGATGGGTTCAAGTGTCAGAGGAAGGCCTACTCCTTGGTTTTGGGGTGGAAAGAGATGGTCTTTGTCTCTCACCCCTCCTCTCCAACCCGTAAGAACTAGAGCTGGATGCTCTGGAGGAGTGCAAGGCTGAGATGCACCTACTGCCCTCACCGCCTGAACCCCGGATCTGCGGACTGAGTGTTGGCTCCCAGAGCTGGCTGTTGCGACGCCAGAGCCGCGCCATCCTGAGTGCGCTGCAGCGGTGTTCACCTACTTGGGTGCCCGCGGCCCGCGGGACCTCGCGGCGTGCCGAAAGGCGGCTGCGGCAACGCCTAGTGCAAGCCAAGCGGAGGCTGGAGTCACTGCAGGCTCAGCTGACCGAGACCACGCGCCAAGAGGAGTCCGGCGTGGGGTTTGGGGAGCTGGGGCTGAGTGCGCCGCTGCCGCTGGAGGGCTTCCTCAAGATGGAGGTGCTGGAACTGAGCCAGCTGGTGGGCGCGCTGCAGAGGGACCTGGGTTGCCTGCTGCAGCAGCTGAAGGGAGCGCCTCCGTGTGCCGCCCGGCGCTGTGCCGCGGTGGCTCGGGCTCTCTGGACTGGCCGCCTACCCCCGCCTTGGCGACCCCACGCGCCTGCCGGGCCGCAGCCGCCCTGGCACTGGCTGCGGCAGCTGTCGCGCCGTGGGCAGCTGTTGGTTCGCTACCTGGGTGTGGGAACCCAAGTACCAGAGCGCATCTTTCACCTGTCAGCCTTTTGCCACCCTCGCCGCCTGCTGCTGTCCCTGCGTTGGGAAGCTACCTTTGCTGTGGTTGCCCCGACAAATTTCCTAGCTTGCAAAGTCTCCAGCTCCAGTCAGCTCCCCCACAAACGTCAGGAGCTGATCAGTCCTCTGCACTTCCAGGTATCTTCATGCTGCCCCTTCGTTTCCAGTTCTGCTCCTTCAAATCCCGGGTTACACCTCGCAGTGTAGCTAAGCCCCTCACCTTAGCTTCTCTTGGTTCTACTTCCTCAGTAGCTCACCTGCTTCTCTGATCCGACTCAGCCGGGACCCCTTAGTTTCTTAGCCTTGCCTGACCAGTTTCTGGCGCCCCCAGGTGGCGAACAGCCCACATCCCACAGTTCCAGAGATGGGGCTGCTGCTGATTGGACTACAGCTTCACAATGCCAAGTGGGACCCGGTAGCAGGGGCCTTGCAGGACAGCTCCTCCAGTCAACCCAGCCCTCTGCCTCCCGTCAGCGTCAGTGCCCAGGCCCTAGGGGCCAATGACCTGCCACCCCGAGGCGGCCTGGCAGTGTATTCCTGTCCTGTGTACTTGGAAGGGCCCCTGGGCACCACTAGGCTGCACGGGAGGAAGGTCCTGATGCACCTGCCCCTGCCCACCAAGCTCAGCCCCGCCACCTGCATCCAACGGAGAGTCCACGTGTGCAGCCCTCCGTTGTCCTGAGCCAAAATAAAGTTGGACTGATTTGATGAAACGTTTCTGAGACTTATAAGGGATGTAGATGTGTGCACACAGACAAAGTGACACTCTGAGGCAAAAACTGTGTGTACATCTGAGAAAGAGGTCTATTCACACTGAAGGTAGAAGAGGGTGTGTGCCTGGCACTTGGGGAGAGGCAAGAGTGGGGACACTGTGCAGAGATGGACCTGGGGTTAGTCCTGTTTCCAAGGGGCTAGGCAGATCTCAGGATGGCTAACACATAGGACTTTGAATCCCCACCTAGCTCACAATTGTGCTCTCAGCTCCATGCTAAACCCACAAGGGACATTTTTAAAGGGAGAACATTAGAACTCAAGATCATTTCCTCAGGCAGTTAGTAGTGCCTGGGAATGCCCCAATTCTGCCCAGCTAGTCATCCCCACAAGATGGATTCTCAGCACACACACGAAGAAACAAAAGCACAATAAGACACAAGGTACTATGTTCTTTCAATGGTCATTTATGACCCCTCCTCTGAATGAGGTGCTCTTCCAGGCACTGATGAGGTTGTTCTAATACTGGGCAACAATAAAAAGGCCAACATATAAATGAGTTAAATTTGATGATTTTTAAGTGCTATAAAGAAAACAAAACAGGCTTATGTGTTGGAGTGTGACTGGAGGGGAGCAGTTAATCTAGTTTGGGTGGTCAAGGGAGGCTTGCTGAATATTTGAGAGGGAGCTATTTGAAGATCTTATATAAATGAGTTAAATTTGATGATTTTTAAGTGCTATAAAGAAAACAAAACAGGCTGATGTGTTGGAGTGTGACTGGAGGGGAGCAGTTAATCTAGTTTGGGTGGTCAAGGGAGGCTTGCTGAATATTTGAGAGGGAGCTATTTGAAGATCTAGGAGTAGGTCTGCTAGATCTAGGAGGAGAAAATCTAGGAGTACCTATGTTTCAGATAGAGCCTTCAGCAGATGTGAAGAGCTTGAGGCAAGAACAACCTGGGGTGTTCAAGGAACAGGACATGCAACTATAACACGTGAGTGAGGGGCAGAGTGAGCCAAAAGTATGGAAAGGTATATAAACCAGAGCGGATCGTGATGATGAGCTTGTATTTTTAAAAGTATAAGAAGGAATCTACCGGAGAGTACTAGAAGGGAAATTATCTTTTTCAAAGATCATTTTGGCTGTTCTGTGCTGGGTGGATGTGTATGTGTGCTCAGTTGCTCAGTTGTGTTTGACTCTTTGCGACCCATCGACTATAGCCCACAAGGCGCCTCTGTCCATGGAATTTTAAAGGCAAGAATACTGGAGTGGGTTGCCATTTTCTACTCCAGGGGATCTTCCTGACCCAGGGACCAAACCTCGTGTCTCTCGTGTCTCCTGCAGTGGCAGGCGGATTCTTTACCACTGTGCCACATGGGAAACCCATGGTGGGTGGATGGATGGAAGGAAATCCAGAGTAGGAAGAGGGAAGATTTGTTTGGAGGTTATTGAAGTAAATCAAGTGAGAGATGATGGAGTTTGGACTAAGGTCATAACCATGGAGATGGAGAATTGATGGATTCAGGAAATATTCTGGAGGCAGAGCCAGCAGAACTTACTGACAAGATTGAATGTGAGGGAAAAGGGCAAATCTAGGATGACTTGAGCAACTAGGTGGATCATGGTGTCATTAAGTGAGATGAGAAATTTGAGAGAGAGACAGGTTGGAGGTAGAGAATCAGGAATTCTGCTTTGATATGTTCAGTTACTATTAGTTTCGTGATTGCTTCCTACCCCAGCTCAAACCTCTTGGATAAAAGCTGGGTTAGAGTGTAGCAGACAACACCAGTTAAAAGCCAACACCAGCTCCTCTCCTTGCCCCCAGGCACCAGAATTTACTAGGTACAAATTAATTCCCTTGCTGTATGACTAGGTACGAGCTATGTGGCAGGAGGAAATGCAGAGATGTATACTGAGCATCAGTGCACAGGCTCTTCAGCTACCCCACTTGCTAGTGACTGCAGTGTGGCTGATGTCCTTTAACACAGGCTGCGCAAAGAGGCAAAAGCTCCCTCTTTCTTCAGAAACTCTTCCCTTTTCTTTTCTATAACCGGGGACATGGCTATTCCTTCAGGTGAGGAGATTAGCTGAGTATTTAAGAGGTCCTTTTGGATAAATGAACTCTCTGTCCATATGTACTATTGTCTATATGTACCATATGTCCATCAATACTATTTTCCCCATTGGGAACAGGGAACAATAGTGATACACAAGTAAAACCATCTGCAATGGGTTAGACCAGAAAATTTTCTATAAATCCACATCATTCTCTAGACCAAAATGTATTCTTTTTTTAAACCTAGAATTTCTTTTTTTTAAATTCATCTTTACTGATGCATAATTGACTGAAATTCACTTTTCAATTATGCACAGCAAATTGTTATTAAACTTAGACAATCAGAGGTTAAAAGTACCAACTTAGACAAGTATAGGTTATAAGTAGCAAGTGACAGTGTAGCCCAAATACAATGACTGAGTGTAAAAATATTCCAGATTCAACAATTTCACAGTTGAAATTGTCTATCAGATAAATTAAAATCTCAGGGGGAATTCCCTGGTGGTCCAGTGAATAGGACTGTGTTTTCACTGATGAGGCCCAGGTTTGATCCCTGGTCAGGGAACTAAGATCCCACATGTCCTATGGTGTGGCAAAAACAAAACAAAACAAAACTTAAAGCTTAAAAAAAAAAAAAATCTCATTAGGGAAGTAAAGTCTCAAACAATGAAAGGAAGGAAGAAGTAAGACATGTGACAAAGGGAAGAGATATGTCCCATCCTGTCCTGAAAGATCAGGTGGTGGGGTGAGGGGTAGGGGATGAAGAAGTGGAGTCAAGGGAAGGAGGAATATGATAAAATAAACATGATCTGGGACTTCAGAAGTAAACTGAGGTACTGAGGGCAAAGAGGCTTTTCCTCTTTCCCCTGCTTGTGATTTTAGAAGGGAACTACTCTGCAACACTGACCTACTGTGGCCACAAGTGCAATAAGAAGGCAGAGTGGCATGGACAGGAAGAAGTGTCCCTTGATCCCTGCGTAGTGTAGGAACTGAATAGAGATCTGTTAAGCTCGAGGGAATATGAGGCAGAGAATCACTGGGGTCTGCAGCAGCAAACAAGAGTTGTTGAGAGGAGGCCAAGTTGGCAGGGAGGGGCAAAAGGCCCCAACAGCTGAAAAAGACAAGACCACAAATTCATGAGCTTTAGAAGCAAATTCTGGCAGGACGCCCAGGTGTGGAACTAGGCCAACCCTACCCAGAGGATTCCAGCGTGTGCATGTCCAAGAGTCAGTATTAGGCCAGGGACCCATTTCTTCTGACATCAAAATGCCACACAAGCCCTCCTTGCAACACCCAGCTGCCACTTTGGAGAGGAACAAAGGTAGAATGCTCAGAATTTTAGAATGTATTTCAAAGTGAGCAAATGAAAATTTATTTCTAGCCTCTTCTGGGAGGATGGGAGTGAGACTTGTGAGGAATATCAGATCAGTAATTGAGAAAGGAGCTAAATTTTATCTGCATATCCAAATTTGTGAGGAAATCTGTGATCTGGCTCTGTACTGTATATGAATTAATAATCCAAAGACCAAAAATTTCATTGACTAGTGTTCTGCAGCTCACCTGAAACATATTTTTTTCAGCTTTTCAATTTGAAAATCCTTAGTCAGAAATAGCATATATATGGGAAATGTTTGAAACAGAAAAAAAGAAAGTGCCAGTCCATCCACTAATGCCTAAGAAGCCCTGGTAGCTATAAGTTAGGTACTATAATATTATTATTCCATACCACAGGTCAGGAAACTGAGATACAGATTCAGTCAGTTATTCAACATCACAAAATTGGAGTCAGTTTGTTTTTTACCTTTATTGTTTATATACATTTCTTTCTTTAAGATTTAGTCTGTAGTATTATAACCAAATAAAATCTGGGTCTGATTTTGAGTAAAGTGTACTCTTACTCAGTTTTCAAGTTCTCACTCTACTTGACATACTTTTCTCACTTTGGGAGAGAAAATTGGACCCATTTTAGACCATATGACTATGAGCCTGTGCTTGAGAGCCATGCAAGGAATGGTATTTTGAATGAGTACTTTTAAAAACTTCAAGATGACAAATCCTCTTGCATGGAACAGCATTACCTTACACTGAAATTTTTTCTTCATGGAAGAACAGAGTAAGCATCCAGCACAGTCACCATCAGTCACCATTAGTATCAGTACTGAGTATTCATTGGAAGGACTGATGCTCCGATACTTTGGCCACCTGATGCGAAGAGCTGACTCATTAGAAAAGACCCTGATGCTGGAAAAGATTGAAGGCAGGAGAAGGGGATGACAGAGGATGAGATGGTTGGATGGCATAACCGACTCGATGGACATGAGTTTGAGCAAGCTCCAGGAGTTGGTGATGGACAGGGAAGCCTGGCGTGCTGCAGTCCACGGGGTCACAAAGAGTTGGATACAACTGAGCAACTGAACTGAACTGAAGTCACCATCAACCCTGAGGATCTGAACCATTGATTAGAAGGAGATTCGAGTGTCCCCACTGAATACAGCTTTCTCCAGATGTATGTGAATCGGGTGAAGGAGGCCCCTCTTTGGTCATGGATGAACAGTTAGCCCATCCCTGGGCAGTGTGAGTCTGATGGAAGACTGGTTGGTGCCAACACTGGATGTAGAGACATGGGTCTTTTGAATGTTTACTCCTTTTAGATTGAACAGATTAACCCATTCTGGGGAGCAGATCCTACATGCCTTATGCCAGGTACTGGAATAGTCACTTTCAAATTGCTTATCTCCTTTAATCTTTTTAACAATCTTGCAAGTCAACCCCCCCCCCCACCAATACCTTCTTTTGCACTTTTATAAACTGAAATATTGCTGATGTACAATATTATGTAAATTACAGGTATATAATATAGTGACTCACAGTTTTTAAAGGTTATACTCCCTTTATAGTTATTATAAAATATTCAGAGCCAGTTATGGAATCCAGGCATTTGTC